TTTGAAATTAAAAAAAAAATCATTTTGCAAAACAGGTGAAAAAAAAAGGTAAAAGAAAATATCTATGTCTCGCTCTATGTTAATCAAAAGGTTATGATAGTAGTACGCTATAGATTGGATTTTTAGATTGAATTCTTGATTATTTGTGTCTTTGATTGAAAATATTGATTTTATTTGCTTTCACATCGTATTTTCTGTTTCCATCATAACCCTCTAAATTCCTCACCAACGTGACTGGGAAAAGACAATGACACGACATTCAATTTGATAGAGGTAATTCAAAGTTGCCTCTTTCTTATCTTATTTGAAAGGACTAAACAGAACCATTCATTTCGACAAAATATCTTCTAGCAATGAAGTCGAATAAGAAAACTGTCATAAATTATAAACTTTGTTTGTAATCTTAAATGAAGTTTTATATTTAGTACGGAGGCAGTATTAAGTATTAATTTATAGATATTAAAAAATTAAGTTAGTTATCTCTAAAATAGTGCCTGTTATTCCTTTAAATGTTTAGTTTAATCTTTACATTAGAAATTATCTCTTGCCAAAGTTGTTTTTAGGTTGTATATAAATAGGAATAATTTGAGAAAAGTTTAAAATTAAATTGTATTGCAACAAATAAGAATAATTCAGAATTTATAATTTGAGAGACAAACTTGATTGAATTATATCCAAGTTCTTTATATATCCATTCTGTTAAGTTCTTTAATTAGACATGACCATGTATTTCCTTTTTGTCGTATGGGTTTATAGTTTAATGATAATATTTTAAAAGTAGGATATGTGGCAATGTGTGATTAGAAAAATTTGATATAATAGATATAAAAAACTTGATATAAGTTTGTCCCAAAAGTCAAACAAACTCTCAACTAATTCATATGTTTAGGGTGAGAAAGACTGTTTATTATAGAGGATTTCAAATTCAAAAATGATTTCGGATGAGTTAGAATTCTATACTTTTTTGCAGGCTAAAGTGTTTGATGATGGTTCGTAATTTTAGGATCTCTTGTACAAGGAAAATGGAGGGAAGAAAAATTTTTAATGACCTTGTATTAAAAATTGAAGAATTGGGGTTATAAAATTTTCATAAAAGGAAAATATAAGATAACAGAGAGAGAAAATTAATTGAAAATTTTAACCCCACTTCTCTAATTTTTTAAAATAAGCTCATTAAATTTTCCTTCCATTCTCTTTCCCTCCATTTCCTTCATACCAAACAGACCCTTAGTTTGGGATTAGAAGAAAAATATAGAAGAAATAATATCAGGACAGAAAACTTCTCTTACTTTCTCCCTCCTATTATTTTCTTTTTTTTCACTTCACCCCATACCAAGGCTAAATGTAATATATTTTAATGCACTGATAAATAAAAAAAAAAAAGTCATCATCTTGACATTGAGATGTTATTGTTTGGTTGGAGGAGAATGATTTTGAGGTGTGGAACCACGAAGACCAATGATCAAAAAGACAAATAGAACTTTCAGGCCAGAAAAAAAAAGAAGACAAAATAGAACTGCCAATAAAATTTATTCATTTATAAGGAGTCAGTTTGTAATCCATAAAGTCGTGAGTTCGAGTCCCTTTATCCATTTGATTTGATCAATTTGGGTGGGCTTGTGCCTCTTGTTTGCAGGCCTTCCTGATCCATTCAAATTTTGGCCCAAGCCCATTTCTTGATACGAATTTATGCAATATATTACCCATACATTGTCATGCACAATTGATTGGATATTCTCAATTCTCTGGGTTTTATAATGTCAAATGAACCTGGATCCTCTAAATATTATCCTTTTTTTTCTCCGCATACCAACCCACAAAACTCAATGAGCCTCTCATGAATAAGCTTCAAAGATGCTTTTAGGAAGCGAAAGGTTCTTTCAGAAAGCATCTTTTATTGCAAGGGTGGAGTAGATATTCGTTGGGTACAGATAATGAGTTTGGGAGTGAGCTTGACACGTATGGCTCAAAGTAATACTCTTCTGATCCTTTAATATAAGACTTATTTAACTAGTTTGATTAGATAAAGAAATTAGGTAAGTTAGTAATTGTAAATATGACACGTTTTTCCTAAATATCATAATCATCCTTTTTAATACTCCTTTTTCCCTTCTACTTGATTATGGTTGAGGGAATATCCATAACGGTAATTTAGAAAAAATTGATAAATATAATAAATGGGGCTTATAGTTAGGATCAACTAACTTAACAATTTGGTCCTATATTAAGGACCGGAGTATAATAACACATCAAATGAAATTTAAATCACTACAACAGGCGGATAATGTCGACATACATGAAGTCGCAGATTTTGCTGTTCAGGCCTTCGCACCTTACCTCGGTACAACTTCAATTTAACTAGCCAAGTTTCGAGCTCAAAGATCCCAAGAGAAAAATCTCTAATGTGGGACATGAGTTTTTCACAAACTCACAAAATCATGTGCTAAAAACAAATCACCATAATGATAATAGAATATATGAGAATATGAAGCTGATAGTAGACATAATTTTACGAAATTCCTTTTTTATGGATTTTTAGTCCGCTGCAAGCTACCAAAAAAATTATTTGTTGAAATAACATAGGCTACTTACAACTAATATTTCTGTTTACTAGAAGCTTCATATAATGATTTGATTAAATTAAATTTAAAAGACGTTAATAGTGTTTATCTGAGAGATTAAACAAGAAATTAAATATAGTTAGTTGATAAATTAGAGATAAAGAAAGAAAAAATAAGGCACCATGAGAATTATCTTGATTCGGTCCCTTGATCTATGTCTGGTCCTCTTGAAAAATACTCAAGAGATTTGCCCACCATAAAAATCCAATCACAATACCAGTAAGTTTCACAAAGAGAGCTTAACTACAAATCTTACAAGTCACAACTCTAAAATTTTTACATAACTTACTCATAATTTGCATCTAAAGCTCACGCCCGAGCCAATACAGCTTAAGTAAACAGTAGTTATCTGCATAGGTTGCTCTTGAATAGCTAGATAGGGAAAACACTCTTAAGAACTCATACTCAAATTTCAACGTGATACTCAGGAAGCATACAATTAATCTGGAACGAACACTGATGAGATTCCTCCTCTTGTATTTCTTTTATTTATTGATCCAGTGACTAATTTTCTCTTTGATGTCATTGTCAATAATAATGCTTTGCTCCCTGATTCTGCAATAAAAGCATATCAGTCAATGAGGATTCAATTTTTCAAAATATCAGTTCTAAGTTGAAAAATTTTAAAATCATTTGTTTTAATCAAAACTAATAACCAATTTGCTAACAACTAAATATTTTATTGGAATCGGTAAATTAAACAATGAGATTCGTCTAGATGAAATTTACTTATTTACCTTCAAATACGAAAATATTAGATTCATTCTAAGACACTATCTTATATATTAAAATGAGTATCTAAAAGTTAGAAGTAGCAAATTATTGAGTGCAAATTGTTGTCAAGAGTAACTTAAAAGAGTGTCAATTAAAACGTTAGACTCAGTAATGCTAAATCTAGATATCATACCTTAATTTGTTTCGTTATTGTTACTAAAGTGAAAAAGCCATTGAGGAGGAAATTCAATTATGCCTCATGACAATTGTTAATTGCATAATACGCATAAGCCACTTAATGTTGAAACCTGAAGAAGCAGAACACTAGAAATCAAATTTTCTATCCAACATATAATATGATTGAATGACCAAAAAGCAATGCTTCTTTTATGGTAACAAACCGAAATAGTGACAACTAATATTTTTTATTAACCATAGCTCATGAATTAGCTAAAGTGGTTCCTTTAGATATTATATTAATGATGAGGCAAAATCGTGACCATTGAATAAGCTTTTTTACCTGCCTTCCTTGCTTCTCATATAACTCTTTCTTCAAAACACAGCAATCTGATCAACTATTTTGACATGATTCACCGAATTACACAATATTAGAGTAAACTCAACAACACCTGAAAGTTTTCAATCACAATAACTGAAAGGTGATTAGTTTTAACAAATGAAAGTCAATAACATTCTGGTTTTGTCACTTAAAATGAAAGCAACCTCAAGTGTACATGCCTACCTACCTATGTGACAAGTGTACATGATTCATATATCAGGCTCCATGCCGCACATCTCATTATGCCTGCATAATAATTGTATTAAATTGAGTCAAATAAAGAAAGAATAATTCTAAATCTTTTCAGTCTTTGAAATCTATTGGCAAACAGGAAAAATTGCGATCCAATGAATTTGATCAATCAATCTCTTTAATACCGAGCAACTAAAAAGACTAGGAAGATAAGATCGCAATATATAGAATGTTTTAAGCAGTAATACAATTAAAATAAACAGAGAGAGAAAAAAGAAACTCAAGCCTTTAGTAAACCCATCCACAAAAGTTTATTAAACTAACTATAAATTGATTGAAGCCTTGACCTCTGAAAAACGAAATTCTTTGAGATAAAAAAGCTGATACTCACGTGAGCTTCTCATGAATCAACTCCCAAAGATGAAGAAAACAGAAGATGACAGCATTTTGATGATAGGAAAACAGAGAATCTGAAGCAGAGGATTATTTGATGGCACTTTGTCTTGATGGTCTTCAAAATCTTTCGGTGCTTTCAGAGTTTGAATTGTTCCACAAAGCTTTTCAAAAATCTGCAACCTGAAAAAAGAAACGAAATCACACTTATTGTGCTTTGTAAATAATGCATGAATATAAAAATAAGATATATCTGTTCACTCAGAAGGTAGAAAGATGAGACCCCAATGCATAGAGGCTGGGGTTCCAAATAGAATCTTATATATACTGGGAATGTGAAGCTTTAAAGATATACATTGGCATGAAGCTGATTCAATATTGTAATTAAAAATGAGGGCACGTTTTACTTTCTCAAGTCAAGGGTATGTAAAAAAAATTCTTTGAAATTGAAAAAACATTTCGTAAAAAAATGTAAAAGAAGAAAGAACAGAGCTCTGATTTTTTATTAAAATCAATTATAAGACTCTCAACCGATCACCCTTTAAAGTTTTTTCCCCCTTGAACTTCCTGTATAAAACAAAACACTGATGAAAAATCACATTTTTATATTGAGAGGGAGATAGCGGGGCGCTCAATAATTAAATAAACAATCAACTCAAAATTACAACACTATGAGGAATGATTATTAGTTATCTTACCAACCCTTAATCTCTACCAAAATAGCAGCAAATCATCCTTATCTCCTTTCATTTTTCTCAACCTGTTATCATCAGAGCAAAGTATAAGATAACGATTTAAATACTTGTAGATATAATTTTACAAAACTAAACATAAAACACCATGTAACACAAACTACTGCTTGGCATGAACAACTGTATTAGCTTCTTACACGCTTTTTGCTTCCAATAGAGCTCTTTTATTTGGAAGCTCCCGAGTTTTGTTGATTCCCTCACCTTCTCCCCTTGAAAGCCGAGTACGTTCTGTTCATCAAAGTTTCGAACAAGTTGCTCATTAAAAAGAAATGTCCATGAAAAGACAAAAAATTATAAAGTCAAGCTTTAGCTTCCATCACGGTTAATATAGTGATTATATAAAATCAGAATATGTGTGTGTAAATATATAAAACTCTCATCACATTAAAAATATAAGAAAGCAGAACATACTAGATACCAATCATTATAAAATGACGCCCAAATGTTAAAAGCTAATTATGCATGGTTTCATGTCACACTTCATCGCATACAAGTCTAATACTAACTCCGGCAATTAACCGAATTGTGTGGTTTAAAAAATAAGTTAATATTAGTTGAAAATAATAAATATGTGAAAAATGTTTTTTTCCCCCAAATGTGCCCTCACAAGGGGCTAGATGGGGAGAGAAATAGTGAGAAAACAATGAAAAAGAATGTAGAAAAAAAATAGAATTAACTAGGGGTAAATTTGGCAAAAATGCATCTGACAATCAGACAATCCCAAACCAGATCTCATAAAAAGGACTAGACTAATTCAAAAATTTGGATTTTATATGAAAGACGAGAAGTGCATTATACTGAGCTAGATAATATTGAAAGTATGCATGCTTATGAATAATCTTGCCAATCTTCAAAATAACACATGTCGACATTTTAATTGCGTCGAAATTTTAGAGAGCTCACCCTGTGGCGCTTCCCAAGGATCATAATATATGCCATCTATTTGTAAGGTAGGAATATGGGCAATCTCGGAGAAGTGTCGTCCTTTTTTAAAGTCATATCTTTTACGTAGTTTAGGACAGCCTAAGATATTGAGCTCCAAAAGAGAGGATGGCAGCTCGTCTTCTGGCAAGGATTCAAGCTCTGGACACTCAGAGATATAGAGCTCTTCTAAACAAGTAAGGTGTCGAAGCCCTTGTCCATATAAAAACTTAAGATTGGAGAAATCACAGATGTCGATTCTCACGAAAGAAGTGGGCAATAATTGATACTTCAGTAAGTTACAGAGAGTCTTTTCACTTCCATCACCTTTGACCTGAAGTCCTGAGAGATATGTCAACTTTTGGAAACCCCATTTTTTAAGAGGGACGGGAGATAGTCGCTCACAGTCAACTATAACAAATGATCGCAAGTTAGAAGGCAAACCACATTGAGGCAGTGATTCCAAATTCGGAAGCTGAGAAAGAGAAAAGTACTCAAGGGCAGTGAGGGATTCATTTTGTACTTGTGACATTGATCTGAGTTGCTTACGATCAGATAGAACAAGGGATTCTAAGGTAGGAGAAGACCCCTCAACTTGTGTAAATGTTTCCAGATTATGACAACCTTCAACTACCAGAATTTTAAGCTTGGGAAAACTACCTAATGGAAAGAATGTCAATGAATCGCAACTATTTTTAATCAGCAAAACTTCAAGTCTGGTGTAGTTTTGCCAAGATTCCTGAGGCGGGAATTCTAATTTACTGCAATCTTTAATTCTAAGTCGCTGCAATGAAGTGGGCAAACCATGAATTGGGAAGGACTCTAAAGATGGGATGCTTTTGAGATACAATTTTTGAAGGCAGTGACAAGCCGATATCATTCTAGACTAAGACTGCAAGCTGGAACAATCAGTAATTCTAAGACGTTTCAATGAGTCTAGAGAAAAATTTTCAATGGCCCTCAACAAGTCCTTTTCCCCTTGGTTAATGTTTAATTTTTGAATGCAAGCAATCCCTTTCAATGCTGATGATTTGGCTTCCAAATGATTGCAGTTTAGTATATCGACCTTTCTCAGTGATGGAAGATTGTCGGGCATGTCTCCCTTCAACTGAGGACAATTATACAAGTACAAATGTTTGAGACTAGGAAAGGGAAATTCGATACCCTCACCTTTAAATGGTATCCTCCATTGCTCCCAAGCCCGCATATCTTCAAATTTTAGAACTTCCCATGATGGAAATGGATGAAATGAAGAGGAGCCTGCTTGATTGCAATAGAACTCATGCCCAACTAGCTTTACAGAAGCCATTCCTTGAATTGAAAGCTCTTTAAGAGAAGGTAATTGCCCAAAAGGTGGAAGGGATAAACAACCTTTGCAATTGCTCACGCATAAAAAGGTGATATTGGTAAATGAAGAATCTCCCACCCAATTTGGAAAGCTAGTACCACCATAACGGTTGATGGTCAATCTCTGTAACTTTGCTGAAGGATGAAACATGTTGAGTATATTTTTCACTGTTGGTGAGTCTTGAGAATCATCACTATCCCACTCCAACACTAACTCCTCAATTTTCTCTCTTCTCTTCAACTTTGCCTCGAAAGCATCCATGGGATCAACAACATTTTGTAACTTCAAAATTGAAAGCTTGCCTTCTAGATGAGGTAGCTTTATTAACTCCTTGTTTTTCAATCCATCCGATTGTTTGCTCACCATAAAAGTACTCAAACTATGAAGATTTTGTAGTTTGGTAATCTGTGTTGGCATCTCCTTCAAAGCAGTGCCGGTGATATCCAGGTGACGTAGGTTGACAAGCTTTTCTATACTCTTAGGCAATTCACTGAAAGACTTACAGTATGATAAAAGCAAAGTCTGCAAATTACAAAGTTTAAAGGTGGCATCAGGCAACCTTGTGATTTTAGTATAGGATAGATCAAGATACCGCAGATGTTTCAAATTGCCAATTGAATCAGGCAACTCGGTGATATTGGAATACATGGACAAAGACAATACCCTTAGACGTGTCAGTTTTGGCAGCAAATCATGTGAGACCTTTTTGCTCAAGACACATGATTCTATAAATGGCCAAGTTTGTTGCGGTAGGAAAGTCCTCAAAGAACTTAGGTGATAAAAGCTCTTGAACATTTTCGAGCCATCGTATCCTTGTTTGGGATATGATATATGGCGACCAGCAGTTGTTGGGATTTTATCACCTTCGAACCAGATAAAATGTTGCCAGACACAAACTTCGCTAAATCGATGATGAGATCATGTATGATAAACTTTTCTGGATCATCTTCATGCTGATGAATAAATGATCTAGATAGTAATTCATTAAAGCAGTTATCTGATTCTATCTCCAATTGGGAGTATTGTTGCACAAAACCTTCAGCCATCCATAACAAGACCAATTGCTTTCCATCCAATAAGTGATCTTTTGGGAAAATGGAGCAATAAGCAAAACATTTCTTTGAATGTGGTGGAAGATAAACATAACTCAAATGCAAAGCAGGTAGAACATCTTCTCTTGGCAAGTCCCACATATTACTGTTTAGAATTCTATACCATTCCTTTTCATCCACTTTTGAACGCAAAAGACCTCCAATTGATGTGGAAGCAATCGGTAGCCCACAACATTTTCTTGCAATTTTCCTTCCGATTGCTTCTAGCTCTAGATGCTTGTTAAGATCTTCCTTTTTAAGTGCATGCTTGGCTAGTAAACACTAACAATTTTCATTAGAAAGAGTTGACAACTTAAACGCAGGAAATGTATGTGTAATTTTCATCAATTCTTTGTTGGCGAGTTGTTACGATGATCTTGCTCCCCTTTTTTTCCATTGCGGAAAGGAGCAACTAGATCATCCCAATCACTATATCTATCATTCCACAGATCATCCATTACAATCAAAAAAATTTTGCCCCTCAAGCTATTTCTCAGTTCAACTTGAAGAATTTCTGGATTTTTGCCATTATGATCTTTTGAAGTGATAGATTCTAAAATATTCTTGGTCACCTCAAAAACATTGAAATCTTCTGAAACACATGTCCAAGCCTTCAAATCAAAATATTGCTGCACTTTCTCATCATTATAAAGCAGTTGAGCAAGGGTTGTTTTACCAACCCCACCGATGCCCCAGCTAGCGATCACTCTTATATTATTACCCTCTTCATTTTCATCACACCCAAGCATGCTCAACAGTTTCTCCTTATCATCCTCTCTACAAACTACAACAGACTCATTTACTAGTGAAGTCGTAGTCTTTTTATGTGCCCTCCGTCTAACACTTTGCAAATGAAGGATATCTTTTTGTTCAGCAGAGTGGCTAAGCCTTTGGTGTATTTCTTTAAGCTTCTGGTTCATTTCCCAGTACATTCCTCCACCAGAAGAAGAAAAGAAGGAGATCGACTTGTCAGAAACTTCCTCAGAATCTTTCCACCTGGTATCTGAGAGAGTCAGTGTTGATTTCATCCAACAAATCTTCTGCATCATCAATGGCATCTTTCAACTCTTCAAGCCATCTCTTCACTGCAGGACTAGTGATCTGCTTCTCTTCAGCATTAATGAGAATAGCATCAAGCATAATGAGAGTTATCTTCAGCTCATCCAAGAGTCGAACATTTAGCTCTCTGTCCTTAACAAAATCTCGGAACTTACTTGAGGTTATACAGTCTAGTATGGTTTGGATGGTAGGAGAAAGCACTGCTCCCACCACTGCGGCGTCCATGCTTTTCTGGGGGAAGAACTCAAAGATAATGAGGTGTGAGATAATTTGAGAGGGAGAAGATGAGTCTGATAAGTATAGCAATAATGAGGAGGGATAACTATTTGAAGAAAAAGGCCATTACATGAAGAGTTGTAATTTTTATACCTACGATATTGATTATATACATGTCAGCAGGCCAAAAAAAATAATTGATTCTATGTCAAGGGAGTTTCATTCATGTAGTGGTGAAACAAATAATTTAAAAGGGCATTTTAAAAAAATCACCTTACATTTTTTTATAAATAACTAATTTAAATATTTTTTTTAATCTTTACAAATTAATTCTCTAGTTCCTATGTCAACTATTGGTCATTATTCTTAGTTTGGATGGAAAGAAAAACATAGAGGAAATTATACTAAGTGGGAAAATTCCAAAAATAGTAAAAAGAAATGTTTTTTTTTTTTTGAGTTTTCCCCTCCTAGTACTCTTTTTCTCCTATTTTTCCCCCATTTTTCATCCAAAAATGTAATATATTTTTAACGCATCTGTAAATAAAATATCAAGTCATAATCCTGACATGGAGATGTTTGGTTGGAACCCCATAATTGTTTTGGAGCGGGGGACGACAAAGACCAAACAGTCAAAAAGATAGAAGAGGATAAATAAGGGAGATAAGAAGGACATGTACTTTCCATAATGGTCAGCTAAACGAATCAGGTGACACCGTTATTTTCTATTAACAACCAAACCTTTAGATAGGTTATTAACCAAAAGGTTGCGCCCTCTAATGGACTTCTCTGCACATGACAAAACCACCATGTACTCTTGTTTTGATATTTTTATTTTGAATCTTATCTTTCTTGTATAATTACACATCCATTTTAATATCCTCATTTCTGATACCACAACTTTATACTCTTATTTTTCCTTTAGAGCCCAACATTTACTACTATATAACATAGCTGATGTTACAGTGATCTGATAGAATTTTTTTAAGCTTATGCTGAAAATAAAAGGTGGCTCAGTTGCAGAACGATTCTTTTGTGTATTTGCAGAGCAGCACTAGCCGTATCCTGAGATAATAAAGAAAACATAGAAGGTGATGGCTATACCTCGGAGGCCACATCTTCCTTCGTACCGAGACTATTAAATACTCCCTCAGTTTCTATTTATAAATTTCAAACATGAGGAAGAATATGATTCATTTATAAGCTCTAATTTGGATTTGTCTTAACATTTAATGTATTTTTTCATCCTATCCTTTATTATTTATTCTCTCTCATTTGCTATACTTTCTCTTATCACATTTTTTTCACATATTCTCTTTCACCTTTTTTCTCCATTTATTATAAAGGTTTATTTAAAAACAAAAGTATATTTTTAATCTATTTAAAGAGTCTAAGAGAAACGGGCCTAGGAGGGGTACCAACTTTGAAGGCACATGATTTTGGATCAAATAATTTTCTCCTTACTAATAAGAGTTGGTCCAATTGATAAGGAATCAACTCATAACCTATAAAGTTGTGACTTCGAATCTCGCTGCCGATGTGAGGACCTTGTTTGTGGGTGATCTATAAGTACCTTTATAATTGCTCTCTGAACTTGGAGAGATATCTTGGCTCTGATGAGCCCCTAGGAGACAACTCACCTAAATTTTTGGCTATAAAAAAAAAATTTTTGTCCTTATATATTTTTTGGCCTTGTTGGGAAGAAAAATCTTAAACCCTTGGACCCATTGAATTCTCGGCAACATTTTCAATGACCCAATTTTTTCAAATGCCGTTTCACTTCATTCTACTCTATCCTTTACAATCTTTTCAAACGCTAATAATATTTTCAGGTATGGTAAAAAAAGAATAATTTATTTGAAAATAAAAATAAAAATAATAAAATATAGTATTGTAACCTAACAGTTTATTAAATACACCAAATTATTAATTATAAAAAAGTTATGTATTTTTATGTATAATCTTTTTGAATCATTAAACCACTCATTATCGGTTTGTTTGATCAACATCAATAAAATTTAAAGACATCCCCCGGTCTACAAGTTGTAGATTAAGAGTGTAATTTATATCATAAACCGTAATAATTTTTTTTTTTTGCTTTAGGCATTATTGGACACCTCTCCCAATAGAGATTCAAACTTTAATTCATCACGTTGTGCCATTTCTGCTAAATACAACTTCTGATGGTAATTTAATAAAATGAACTAGCCTCACCTAATTTTTTTTCCCCAAGCATAGGTAGTTGTCATGCTGTGGTATGGCTGTGCAAAAATTTCAGAGGTCCAGTGCCACACCCTACTTTTTGGAGGTAACTAGTAGGGAATATGAGAAGTCTCCATTCCCAAGCTTACCCTTGCATAAACAATTAGTTAACAGGCAAAGATATCTTGCTAACCCTAAAAAATACCTCTACTATATACAAATCATATCATCCCAAATATAAAACCATTTGTAAAAATTTTGGCATAGTCTCCCCAGTACATCGGACTTCCTGAAAGTTCAACAATGACTTGCAAGTTTAGAACAGTATTTAGAGCTCTGCTCCCAGCACAAGTATGTATAATTACATACTAATTTATCCCAAAAGACTAGGATCTAAGTATAGATTTCGTGGAGCATCTAACTATAAAATTAAATACATAAGTTTACTCTTAAGTTTACATTAGTTAACAACTACTCAAAATAGATTCACAAGTTTTGGATCTTTAATGAGGTTCTTCACTGCTCAACTGGAGGTACAAGGTCTGTGATGCTATCTGAAGCCTAAATAATCTACCAGTAAATAGCATCCCTTTATCATATTTAATAAAATATTAAGAACTGAATAAAATAAATTTAACTTTGAAAGATAGCATGGCAAGAACTAAAATTTCCACATTATACAATCCTAAATGAAAAAGATAAGTATATACTCGAGCTCACTAAATAATTAAATCAAATCCAAATTCATAATAGGACAACTTGATACACGAAAATGATATAAAACCTTATTTGATTTTATTTTCTTTAGATCTAGTCTTTTCTTAGGACCTCAACAGAACGGGATAACAAGTGCGACTCGAAGCCACAACTACAAGCATGGACACACAGTCCATGAGGGTAAGTAACAAATCAAGCATAGCCAAAACCACGAAACGAGCATAGCCGAAGCCACGAAACAAGCATAGGAACGATGCCCATGAATATCAAGCAAGCTCGAGATTTCCATGGCACACCAAGGACTAACAATTCTGCTGTTAGTGATCAGCGTTCTATATGTGGTCCTCTAAAAAAATGCACAAGCATGCATAAGATCACATTATCACTAACTAACAGAGGAAATATATAGATATATTTCTAATAATGGAATCCTTTAAAGAATATTTTGTAACAAATGATCCCAGCATGAATGTTCTAAAATAATATTTTCAAAACTCCTTCTCAAATCCCAAGCATAAACTTTTATTAATTACAAACTGTAGATTAACATATTACAAGTGGCAATTTATTCAACATAAGAAGCAAAAGTATTTCTCTAAGGAATAAAACATTAAGACATTAAGTAATTAAGATTGAAAAATGATAAAATTTAAATTAAACCACCTGAATAAACTATTTAGTAAAGAAAATGATAGTTTAAATAAATTAATAAAAAGTTATAAAAACTTTTTTTTAAAAACTATAATAATGCGATGCTATTCACTGACCTAGGAAGTTCCCAAAATAATACTTAAATTTAATTATGTTTGAATTAGGAACTTTCCTCAATCCCCTAAAGCCCAAAAACAAAATATTACTACTCAAGTTAAAATTTATATAAAAGTTTTCATAATAACTTGATAAATAAATAAATCTTCAAGAACCATTTAAAACCAAAAAAAAAAAAATTCTAACAATTAGAACTCACTATTTTGATTCCCAAATTCTAATAACTTTTATAGGATGGGCATTACACTTTTAAATTTATCTCATAAGATTTACCTTATTGGATACCATTTTCACCATGGAACAATGTCAACTCACAATCTACTTTTCTCAACATATCATCCTCGTCAATTTAAACCCAAAGGACATGAGAGAAATTTAACTTGGTCCTTAAATGCCAAATCAAATGTTTTATGTTGAACTTCAATTATTCCGTTACTTGTATACCATCATCAGCATCCGCATTCAGTGCTCATCAGGTGATGAGCACCCGGTGCTCATCACCTAATGAGCAATCTAGGCCGTCCAAATCTAATCTAGACGGTCCAGATTTAATATTTTAAAATAGAAAAAAATTATATTTTTAAAGAATGATAGTTAAGAGATTATCTTTATTTTTTATCCTATACCTATTAAAATAATTATTTTAAAAAAATAAAAAAAATTAAATATGGATCGTCCAAATCAGATTTGGACAGTCCAGATCTGATGAGTATTGAGTGCTCATCAGTTTTGATGAGCACCCAATGCAAATCTACTATCATAGTTGCAAGAATAATCTTCAAACTACTCACCTCACAACCCATAGATCACCATCGTCATCAATCACTCAATCCATTAAACATCATGTAAGCATTCAAACTAATCCACCGAACAAGCATCTTGGCTCAATAGACAAATCATGACTTTTGAGCAAACCTTTCTCCTAAACATTTTTACGAACACCTTCTATGCAGTAATAATTAAACAAGATCACCAAGCATATTAATCCACCGTTTCAGCCTTAATAAATTTCATAACAGCAACAACAAACCAAAAATTTCACAGCCCAGCACAAATATGAACATTAAATCCAAAATAGAGGAACAAAATGCAAGAAGACTAACTTATCTCCATCACTGACAGTAGCAAACTAAGAGACTAGAGGAGAGGAAGATAAAGATCACATCAACAGTCACATAGGAGTAAGAAAAGATGAACTCCAATCCTTCTAATCACCAAAAATCGAACAAAGCAAGTGAGAAAGATGGCACAACGAAGCTGGAAATGCAGAATCGAAGCAAGCCAAAAGAATCACAGCCCCCAAGTCAGTGACCGCAAATCTGATG